CATTTTTCACAGATTTGGTTCAGTTCTGTTATTTCTCTGCTCATTTTTTTCTAGTTGATCTATCTTCCTGTGACAATGGGGAATGAGGTCTCCTGTTACAACTGTGTTACTGCTTATTTGATTTTTCATGTCTATTAATAATTGTGCTATATAGTTGGGTGCTCCTATATTTGGCACATATATATTTATGATTGTTATCCCTTCCTCTTGAAGTTTCCCCCTAACAATTATGTAGTGACTTTCTTTACCCCTTTTGTTCATTCTTGAAGTTGACATTGTCTCAAAAGGAATAGCTACTCCTGCTTTTTGGGGGGTCCTTTTGTGTGGAAGAAAATTTTCTATTTTTCCAATCTAATCTATCTAGATTCTCCTTATCATAGTCAGCTCCAACTGTCACTCTAAAATGCACAGCACACATATTTGACTCTAAATTACACAGCATACATATCTGACCCTTCTCTAATGACTCACAGTTAACATCTACTTATACATTTTTCTATTATCTGATTTTGCATTACTTTTTCACTGTCTATTTTAGTTTTTAAATTGTAAGCAGTTGTGTGTACTAGGAAATACACCAACCTTCTCTATAATCCATATGATTAAAATCATTAATAGGGGTCCAGGGATGTAGCTCAGTGGCACAAGCACCTGCCTGGCAAGCACAAGGTCCTCAGTTCAATTCCTGGTACAAAAAAATAAAATTAAATTTAAAAAAATCATTAACAGGTCTCAGTTAATGCCTTTTGATAAGCCCTCTTTTTAAAAAAGTGTTTCCAGAATGTAGTGCATTTCAATGCACATACCACATACTAGAGTTTATTGAATAGTTATTGATGCAGTTTCAACTTACTACATAAGCATCATGCTTAGAGAACTGTCAAATCTCTTGACTATTAGCCATCATGTTGTTTAAACATCACTTTTCATCTTTCTCACATGAATACTTTTAGCACATTTCAAATTATGTTGTCCCTGTTCCAATCTTGTAATTTATAAGAAAATAAATTACTAAACATTTTTAAAAGATTATCAGATATATACTATAAAAATTGTCTATTAACAGAATTAATCAATAAATTTTCATGATCTATATCTTCCTTTATTCCCAATTAAGTGGAATTAAAAGTAAGTGGAATTTTTATTGTAGCATAACAGGTATCGAGAGGAAGGAGCATCAGAAAAGATTGCCTGAAATTCATGCTAGTTAACTTTTAATACTTTATGAATAAATATTCACTATGAATTTAGACTTGAAGAACACTATGATAAGAAAAAGAAATATGAGAATAACTTTGGTTCTATTGGGGACAAAACCTTATTTCTAGTAGAATATGTATCTTAATCTGAAACTCTCATTCCAGTTTTGAAGGGATGTTTTATTTTCCATTTCCCCTTCTGTTTTCAAATGGCAAAAGGTACATAGATGTACTGCTGCTGCTTAATCTACTTTAGATAAATTAAAAATATTTATCATGTAACACACAGGGAAAGTCCCCAGTCTCCAGGCAACAGGTTGTCAAAAGCCACACTGTCTTACTGGTAAGAGGCTTTGTCCTAAGGGCAAGAGAACTGCTTTTGTTTCAGTTCCTGGAAATCTGTATGGCTATATTAAAGGAAAACAGAAGTCAAATTGGGCATGTTAGCATGAATAGAGTGGAAGACATTTATACCACTTTGAAGAGACAATTAAAAACAATTAAAGTTTCCCTTGTCAACAAGTCAGCTTTAATGTTGCATGTAATTCATAAGAGGTCTCCCTGCTAGTAATATACTTGATTTTGTAGCTTTAATAAAACAGTTTCGTTTCATCTTACTTGCTCTGCAAAATTTTTAAACAATTATCTTTAGTAACTTAAAGAGAAAATTTGGCACAGAGTTTGTTAAAATGTACATGAAGGCTTCCTGCCAAGGAAATGCTATAGAACAGGTGCTGTCAGAGTCAGGAGGTAGAAGTAAAAGAAGGAAACTAGCAGACAGAATAAGCATAGGAAATGACCCTGAAACAAGGGAGACTGCGCCCCATGCTGTTACCACCACCTGGCCCAGCCAGGACCCAGCACTCAACCAAATGCCCAACTTGCAGGTGTTTACAGATGCCCTCAACAGGCCTGACCATATCTTTTTACTTGTTTTTTGATGGTTTCTTTCTTCATATTTTTTTCTTCTTTCTTTTACTAGAATACACTCTATTTTGTGAACCTTTGGTTTGATTTCCTACATAAAATGTATAAGGAATTAGTGATTTTTTCTAATTTATCATTTTTCTCTTTATTGAAAATTCTTACTTGTGAAAGGTGTCATATCTGATAAGATGTCACAGATTTTAAGTGATTTGTTTTGGCTTATTTTTACATTAAAGGAAAAAGTTTAGTTATTTGAAATTCATACTTTTGTAGACAGCAGGGTATGATTTTGCTAAAAACATTTTTTGTGGGATTTTTGAAAATTTTATAATGGCTTTATGGTTCAAATTTTATCTCCTCATTTGTAAATTATTTCATCTGGACCAGCTATAGACCACAAGTCCATGGCTGTTAAGGGATTAGATAACATGATTTAGTACAGATCAAATACTGATCTTGGAAGTGTGGGCTGGTAAATTCCTACAGAAATTTTCTTAAAGTAAATTCTTCAGTGTGATTACGTGCTCTGGAACACTAGACAGCGCCACTCCCTAGTTCTGTTACTCTTATTTCTGCAACCTTTCCAGTTTTCATTAGGATTTTGAAAAGGTTTCCATTTTTAATGTGTATTTTCACAGAATAAGCCAGATAAATATCCCTTATTCCAAAATACCAGGCATCATGTCTTTAAGAACTGCATCCTTTTCCTTGGCAAGCATTAAGATCGCCCTGTGGACAGCAGGGCAATGATCACTTACTCTGTGCTTCCCAGCATCCTTCCTCATATATTCTTTACTGTTTAAACATGCTATATGCCTTGGTTTTATATTTTTAAAAGTTGTTTCCACTTTAAAAAAATATCTTAAATGATCTATCGAAGTGTTTAGGCTAAACTGACCCTTTGTGACTGTTTACCTTTAAGCCAGTGAATCAACATAAAAATTGTCCATACTATATAACAACATACACTATTAAAATCATTTTGTGATTTGTGAATTATAAGTACCATATTTGAAAGCTCCCCATAAAATGATATTTTATTAGAAAGTCAAATTTATCTCCTTCATTAACTACTTTATAATACTGATTAATTTAATGATAGTTATTTCATTTCTCCCTACACAGAAGTATTATAATGTATTTTACTGTATGTTTTCTAGAATTAAATGAATAAAATTAGATATATTATTTCTTCTTTAAAAATAATTTTCACATATTTTTAGTTTCTTTCAAATCACTTTGTTTAACGAGATTTTATTCACATATAATTGCTTACTTGAAATTTCTTTATTTTAAAAATTATATTTCCTATTGATTTTCCTTAGTGGAGACTTTTATTGTAACTCTAAAAAGAGGAAATTAGGAAATAAATTTTGCCATTTTTGATAATTAACCACAGAAGGAAGAGTAGTGATCACAAACAGTCAAACTTTGAGGAGCCTCTATTGGGTTACCCTATTTCCTATATTTTTACATTGAAATTTATGGTTCCATGGTATAGGTATTAGTAGCCTACTATACTACAAAATACTGTAATAGATCCTGGGAAATCAAGTTGAATTAAACAGTCCCCTTGCTCAAAAAGAGCTTATATTCTAAAAAATATATTCTGCTTATATTGATGTGAAGGAGGAAAAATGCTCTGCTTTTCCCAGTTATTATATACGTTAAACTCACACTGAGTTTTACCAGCCTGTCTCTAAGTCTTTCCAGTTAATTATCACTGATCACAACCACTTCTCATTTCCTAAAATATGATTCATGAGGATGTGACCTTCTCTTCCTTCAAATATTTATACTCAGCTCCTTATCATAACACTATATTTCAAATATCGTAAACTACTTTACAGCCAAAATTTAATATTCTTCTACCTTCTACTGTCACATCACTCCCTGAGTAATGATATCTAACTGGCTTACATGTCCACCTCATTCCTCATATCATCTCATAACCCATACCGTTTATGCTGTTCTACTACTAATACTGTATGTACTATGCTGCACTTGCCTTATATTTTGAGTGATTCCCAATGAACTGTGAACATATGAGAAACATACATATTTGTCACCATCATGCCCTCAGTGTAAAGTATCTGGCACTTAATAGTGTGCAATAAATATCTGTTGAATGAATGTGTGAATTTCTTAAATTCAGTTTTCCAAGAAAAACAAAATATTGTTAATTGGTCCATTCCATGATCTTTCCAGTCAACAATAGTAAGCTAACTAATCTCAAATGATAGCACAATCTTTAACTAATTATACTGACAAAAATATACTTAAGCATAATTATATGGTGATTTACTTTCCTTTAATTTAATATCCATAATAAAAATACTTCTGCTAGCAACTTCTAATTAGTTGTCTTTATCCAAATCCATATTAACTTAGGATCTAAACATCAGTGAGATGCATTTACATAATTTATATAATTGCTTAGCACAGTATATGGCTCAAAATAAGCCCTCAGTAATATCAGTACGATAGTAGTAGACTAGTTTACAGTGATGGCAATAATGAAATTATATCAATGATGTTATATGAATGGCATGCATTTGAGATAAATTTAGATTTTTTTTTTCAAAATGTAAGAATAGCCAAGTGTCTTCTTTACAAGTAATATTCTCATGTGCAAAAGTATAACAATTATACTAGGGAAAATAATATGAAATATAATGTATAATTTTTAAATGCTTTGTAATGCATGCACTAGTTCTCCTAAATGATCAAATATGTAAGGAAACAATTAATATCTGAATTTGTTTTTGTAAACACAGCAGCTACAGAAAGAAAGAAGAAAAAGGGTTTTCATTTTAGCTAACTGTTCAAATGCCTTTACAAATATTTATAAAAGGTCACCAAGAGAGGGCTTACCTGGGGTCACATGAAAAAAGGCCTCGTACCATCAAAAGCTATTTCCAATGTCCACTGGGTGATCTAAAAAAGAATAACAAAGACAGTTTGTGACAAAGCTGACACATAGTATTCTAGAAGAAGTGAAATCAATTGTGACATTTTTCATTTATTTGTAAATGCCTCTTTGGCAGTACACTCACTCAAAATGACAGTTGCTTCTTACAGAACAGAGGAGGTGAGGTAAAATAGAGGAATTCTGACAGTTACTTTAATGAGATTCTGCATTAGGGCTATTCTAACACATTCACCCAACAAGGAGCTTGCCCTTCATTTTCAATATCATAACTCAGTAATTTAAGAATGTTATCTCCATGAAAAACTATACCAGCTAGTCCTTAATAGAGATTGCCTGGTTTATTTTTCCCATACCTTTCAATTAGAGGAACATATTCTAAAGCATGTATCTAAAAGAATGTCACCAATACAGACCAATTACTCCTTCTCTTTTGAAGACAACTTGTTATTAAGATAATGTGAAATAAGACTAAACAATTCAAAATATACTCTCGAGGAACATAATATTTTGTTGGAGATATCTGGGGGTATAATTTAAGCCACATTTTTTAAATTTAGTTTTTATACTTATGTTCCTAAGAAAATTATTGGTAAGGTAAAATGTTTATAAGTTTTTAATTTGATCAATGTTCAATTAAAAAAGAGTAAAGATTCCATTTCATCTATATATTTAATTGTTCTTTGATCATATGTTAAGTGTTTATCAGAGCTGTAAAGAAACAGGTGACAGTCCCATCTGAAAAATATAAATTATAATGTCCAGCATAATAGTAAAGGTCAATAAATGGTACATATTATACTTATGAATAATTCTTTGATCCAAAATACTATACCCCACACATCTAATAATCAAGCTCTCAAAGGTGAATGAGCTAAAGAAGATTCTCCACGCTACAAGAGAAAATAAACAAACAACACACAGGAGTGAGAGCAGACTTCTCAGCAGAAATCATACAGGACAGAAGAGATGGAAATGAAATTTTCACAGTACTGAAAGAATAAAGTAAATAAATACAAAAACAAAAGATGTCAGCCAAGAATACTATATCCAGTGAAGTCACCCTTTAAAATGAAGATTGAAATACCACCAGAAAAATAAAATGAGAGAATATATCTGAATACACCTAATTTACAAGAAATGCTAATAAAGCCTCCTCAAAGTGAAAGAGATGTTAATGAATATAAAGAAAACACAGGAAGACATAGATTCATTAGTAAGAGCAATTGTATCAGTAAATTCAGAATGCTGTGATAGTGTAAGTAGAAACAATATATATCTTTAGTATGAAGATTAAAAGCAAAATAACAACTAATATGTTGAGAGAGACAATATCAAAATGTGTAAAATGAGATACTAAAAATTCTAAATGTGAGAGGAGCACATTAAGTGAAGAATGTTCTTAGTATATTTTCTCTTATTCCTGTTTGTCTTATCATTAGCATCATGTGAAGCTTCTATTATTACAATCTTGTTACAATCAAGACTTTCATTGCTTTTCCGTTGGTTTTTTCGGGGGGAGAGGAAGTAAGTCTCATGGGACCCACGAAGAAAATATATATAATAGGAAAACCAAAATCAATTAGTAAAGAATTAAACCAGCGATACTTGGCTACATCACTTAACCTCAAAGGAAGACTCTAAGAGAGGGAGAAATAAATTATAAAAAAGAAAGGAATTAGCAAATAAGTTACAAAATGCTGTAGGAACATTTTATCCACCAATAAGTACTTTGAATGTGAATGTATAAAATTCTCCAATCAAAAGCTTAAATGGGGGCTGGGGATCTAGCTCAGCGGCACAGCACCTGCCCGGCAAGCACGAGGTCATGAGTTCAATTCCCAGTACCAGAAACCTCTCGCCCCCCAAAAAAGCTTGAATGACTTCATAGATCTATGTTTTTGTTGTTGTTTATTTGTTTTCTGGTACCAAGAATCGAACTCACGACCTCATGCTTGCCAGGCAGGCGCTGTGCCGCTCAGCTAAATCCCCAGCCCCACTTCATAGATTTAATAAACAAGACCCAACAAAAAAATGCTTACAAGAACTTACTTCACCTCTAAGGACAAATAGAGAATGAAAAGGCTAGAAGAAAATAGTTCATAAAAAGGGAATCCAAAAGAAAGAAGTAGTCATAATAAATCAATAAAATTTAAATCATAAGCAATAAAAAAGACAAGGATTTTCATTCTATGATGAAAGAGCAAATTCACCAAGAGAAAGAAACAATTCTATATATATGTATCCCATCAGATATCGAAATATATAAAGCAACTATTAATACATCTAAGAAAGAAAAAGACTCCAATCCAACAATAATTAGAAACGTTAACACACAGCAATGGACCAATAATCCAGCAGAAAATCTACAAACATAGTTAAATTGCATCATGGACCAAATAAACCTAACAAACATCTATAGAACTTTCCATTAAATGGTTTTTCAACACACAATGTTCTTATCATCACATAGAAATTTTCCAGAACAGATAATATGATAGGCCAGCAGTGGCAAATGTACGGCACACGCGCCATAGTGGACACACAGAGGCCTCTCTGTCGTCATAGCAGCCAAGTCGCCCCAGCAGCCGAACATCATATAACAGTAATTTTTTTCTAAATGAAAACGTCTGTATTCAGGTTTAACTGCAGTGTTGGAACTTGCGATGAATAAGTGAGTTTAGGGTTGCAGTGTGGGCACTTGGTCTCTAAAAGGCCTGCCATTACTGTATTAGGTCAAAAAACAAGTGTCAACAAAATTTTAAAAGAGGAAATCATATGGGGTAATTTTTCTGAGCATAATTCAATAAAACTAGAAATCAATGACAAGAAAAACACTGGAACAGCAACTTACTTTTGTAAAAACACCAAGGGCTTACAGAAATCAAGAAGGAAATCAAATGTCTTGAAACAAAAAATAATGGACACAAAGAACCAAAACCTGTAGAAACAGCAAAAGCACTCCTAAGAGAGAAGTTCACAGAAATCCATCATCAAAAAACTACAAAGATTTCAAACAACCTATCACTGCATCTGAAGGAAAAAGAAAAAACAAAGTTACCTAAAATTAGTAGGAGGAAATAAACAACAAAGATCACGTCAAGGTAGAAATAAATGGAGATTGAAGAGTTTTCTTTACAATTATATATAATTAAGTTTATTTGCAAAAGTAAACAATATAGACAAAAATTTAGCTAGATTAATAAAGAGACAAAATGAAGATGAAAAGGAAGATATTATATGTGACAATACAGAAACACAATCATTTGAAATTATTACATACCAACATATTTGATAAACTAAAAACAATATATGAATTCCTAGACATATACACCCTACCAAAAATGAATCATGAAGGCATTAAAAATTCAAATCAATAAAAAGTAACAAGATTGAATCAATAATAAAAAGCCTCCCAATCACAGAAGAGCCCAAGAACAGATAGCTTCACTGTTGTAATACTAACACTACTTCTGTTTAAATTATCGTAGTATAAAAAAAAAAAAAAAGGAAGGATCTTTTTCACACACATCCTACAAGTCCTGTATTACAAAAACCATACAAAGGCATAAGAAGAAAACAAAACTATTCAAAGACAGCAATATGCAATTTAACAACCATTGGTGAATTCCTACCATCTTGTTTAGTGAAGCTCGGTATCGTTTCTAATGTTTTTATTGTTTTTTTTATTCTTTTTAATGGTTTGATCAACCTTACATTCTTACATCTGGTAAACTGAGCAACTTCGTTGAAAATAACAATATGTAATAAAACAACCACTGTTAATTCCTGTCATTTTGTTTTGAAATCCTGTATCATTTTTATTGTTTCTGTGTTGTTTTGTTTTTGTCTATGTTGCTGTTATTTTGTTTTTTGTTCTCTTTAAAATAAAAAAGTAAACTATTCTTTTCAATAAACCAATAGCTATCAGCAGTACAATTATTCCAGCTATCATTGTATATACACATATATATTTTTCCCTTCCTTCTTTCTTTTGTCCTTTCCCTCATTCCAGTTGTTCCCTCCCTATGAGCAATTTCTTTCCCTTTCACAATATCTATCATACCCTTCATGTTTTATTTACTCTTTCAAGTTCTTACACTAGGGAGAAAATACTATGTTTACACATGTGAGTCCTATTTATTTCACTTATGAGTATGGCCTCTAGCTGCATCCATTTACCTATAAAAGCCTCAAATTTCTTTTTTTATAGCAGAGTAATACTCTATTGTATAAAAATACCACATTTTTTTTTAATCTGTTCCTCAGTTGATGGGCATTTGGGTTATTTCCAAGATTTAGCTATGACAAACTGTGCTGCTATACCATTGTTGAATTCCTACCATCTTGTTTAATGAAACGTGTATCACTTCCAGTGTTTCTTATTCTTTATTCTCTTTAATTGTTTGATCAATCTTCCGTTCTTATATCTGGTAATCTGAGCAACTTCACTGAAGATAACATTATTTAATATAACAACCACTGTTAATTTCATATCATCTTGCATTGAAATGCTGTCATTTTTATTGTTTTTTGTGTTGTTCTGTTTGTCTCTGTTGTTATTTTGGTTTTCTTCCTCTTTAAAAGAGAAAATATTTAAAAAAAAAGAAAACTAAAAACTACAAGGCAATATCCTTTATGAAGAAACATAAAACTCTGCAGAAAACACTATCAAAATCAATTAAAAGGCATATTAAAAACATTATATATCATGATCAAGTGGGATTCATCCCAGAAATAAAAAGATGGCTCAATAAACCCAAGTCAATAAATATGGTATAGCGTATCAAGAAAAAGAAGAAAAACAATAGGAGAGCATTTCAATAGATGTAAAAAAGGCATTTGTTAAAATTCGACCTTCCAGGACTAAGAGTAGCTCACCAGTACCACATTTTCCTAACTTGTACAAGGCCTTGGATTTCATCACCCTGAATTTCATTCCCAGGACCTGGCAAAAACCACAACAACCACAACTAAAACAACAATATTTCTTCAAAGTAAAAATATT